GAGATTACGAATTGATGGGATGTTACCGTCTCTTTGTAAAACTGGTTCAGTATAATTATAGTTTTCAATGCAGATTACGGGCTTATGTACCGTAACAAAAGAATAAATCATCGAATTCATCTAAATTTTAATAGTGAGTTGCATTATTTACAGAAATGTGTTAATTATACACAATTATTTGAAAAGCGGATATTTCCTTTCTACGCCACATGATCAAATAAAATGGTATTCTGATAAATTACTCATTACTGGGTCGCAAAACTCCTATGTTTTAACTAGTTGTATATTTAAATCACATTATTTAAAATGTTCTAGATAATAAAATTAATTAATATATAATATTTATACACAAGTGTATATAATTAATTGGTTTAGCAATGTTGAGCACAAAACTGTCAATACGATTAAATCTATATTTTTATCATAGTTTTACAGAAAGCTTATACAAAAAAAAACGATGTCCTAAGATATTTAAGACAGGTGCAGGCACTGTTATAAATAATTTAATATACACCTGTAAGCAACGATAAAACATTACTTTTCAAAAAACAATTCTGAGCAGATTTCGGTTGATAGTAACGGTTTATCAACAATAAATATGGCATACAGTTAAATAATTAAATAGGTTCTATTTATTTTATTTTAATAATATATGTTTAATGTTGTACCCATTTCCCTAGTTCTAAATTTTTCTCGATTATCTCATGTTTATTACTGATTTTTACATATGCTAGGAAAAAACACTGAAGACAATCAAAAAAAGAAAACCTCAAAGTACCACTTCAATGAAATTTCCTTGTTTATTAGCTTTTATAAATACTATGATAGATAAATAGATATAATCTAAATGTTCTATACAGTTCAGTATTATTCGTTTTATAACTATTAAATATATACACATCTGTATAAATATAAAATGTTTATCAATTTAATTATAAATGATTTTAAAAATAATATAATTAAAATGTACAACCGGTTAGAACATAGATGGTTTGCGGAGGGTTAATAAACGATTTATCAGAATGTCATTATATTTGATCATATGGCGTAGAAACGAAATAGCTACATTTCATAAAGTAGTTATTTGAACACGTGTCTCTATAAAATGCTCCCCAACTACTGATATTATGTTATAATTTAGGTATATTCGATGGTTTATTTTTTTTGTTGTGACACAAAAGTTTGTAATCTGCGTTAAATTTACTATTTACTATTACGTTATAATTATACTAAATCGGTTTTACAGATTGAAGGTATCAATTCGTCACCTTAAAAATCGATTATCGTCTTCACCTTTTCTCTATTGAACAACGCCAGATTTCAACAACAACCGTTCCATTCCATCGGAATTGATTCAAGCAACTAAATATACCGATTTGGTAACAGTTTTCGTCACGTATTATAATGAAGTTGATGTTTTTAATTAGTTCCCTATGTTATTTTATATTACTGTATGTATTTTCTACAAATGCCGACGTCCGTTGTGGCCAGGATTGTTTTCCAAGTACAGAATTACCCGACCCTCGTCAGTGTTTAAGTAACCCTGAAAAACGAACTCTATGTAATGGAAAACCAGGATGTTCATGTTGTTGCCCCTAACTTAAATTCATTTTAAAATTACATCTATATAAATAATAGGTAAATAACATATAATTAATTTCCAAAAATTAAATTATTTCAATTCCTTTATACATTATTAGTGCAACTCCTTTTACTCAATTAATAGATCCTGTATTTCACATTAAAAAATCTTTACCAAACTGACAAAATTAATTACTTAAATAATATTATAAGAGAGTGAGATTTGTTGATACAATTTGAAAACTTTTATTATTTTTATAATGGCGGTAAATATATTTTTTAGGGTTACATCTTATTCAGTAGCCAATTTTGACTAATAATTATATTTATTTTTTTTTCACACAATATATAGTATTAAATTTGTTCATTTAAAATGTTACAACTAGCATCATGGTGTGGTATGTAGTTACATTCTATGGGTTAATTGTTACACTATAGATTACGTGTAAATGCTTACTTTAATCATGTACCGATATAGCGAAAAATAGGTTGTATTTAACAAATTGTAATCAATTGTAATGGCTTAAAAATCCAATGTACAAATGTTTTAAAAACCTTGTGTTATTTTTTTTAATAAATATTAATTT